CACACACACCACGTTAGACATATGCATGCACGCACACACACCCCACATGCACACACATGCATGCACGCACACACACCCCACGTGCACACACATGCGTGCACGCAAACACACCACATCCCGCCCGCTCACCAGCGTGTGCCGCTTCATGTGCTCACGCCGCGTGAACTTCTTGCCGCAGATCTCGCAGGGGTACGGCCGCTCGCCCGTGTGGGAGCGCATGTGCCGCTTGAGGATGCACTGGTGCATGGCTGAGAAGCTGCAGTATGGGCACTTGAACTTCTTCCTGATCACCGTGAACTCGTTCACTGAAAGACAGAGACCACAGGCATGTCACCACGCACCCCGCCCCACCCTGGAGGTGCCAGGCCTGTCCCGGGGGGCCTCTGAGCCGGCAGCTTTGCCCTCCACGGCTGACCACAGCGGGGCCGCAGGACGCGCAGGGGAGCAGCCCATACGAAGGTGGTTCCCACTGCCACTCGTCAGGTCAGTGTGCAGGTCTGCCCTGCCCCAGCGCTCTCCTGCAGGACCAGCATGGACGGAACAGAAGTTCTGATCAGCAGGGAGCCACCAAATGCCAGCAGCCCTGTATCCCAATGCCCACAGTGGGGCATCAGCCAGTTCTGAAGGGGTACTTAGCTGGGCGGCATGAGCCTTCAGGTGCCCACCCCGTCATTCCTTCTCTCCGTGTTCACGCAGGGTCTGCGAGCCTCAAGGAGGCACCTCACAGCCTCACGCAGGGTCCCATCCCATGCCAGGATGCAGCCTCAGTCCCACTGATGAGGCAGCTCATCCAGGGAGTGGTCTCCAGATCTTGTGGGACGAAGCTTAGCCAAGCAGCACCCGCTCTGCTCAGCACCGAGACAACATGGTCACCCCTCAGGCCGGAGACAACGGATCTAGACATCCCCACGGCCAGTTGTCCCGGTTTCCGCCGGAACGACCAGGGGTTACTTAGTCCACACTTCACGCAGCGTCCTGTCCTTCCTGGGTGGTCTGCAGCCAGTCACAGATGCCTGCCTTATACTCGGCACCTGAGACTCAGTTTTATGGCTAGCCCTGGCACCACCCCTTGACCTGGGTGCACAGGACACCCACAAGCAGGCCACTGGCCCCCCAAGCCCAGAGAACCACTAAGGGTCTCGGTCAGGCAGACAGCTGGACTGAATGCTGGAAAGATGCTGGACTGTTGGCCACGTACACTCACCGCCCGTTCAGACCTCTGTGGCTTCCCCAAGCCCTCAGACGTCTGCCATGTGGCTGTACATGCCACACTTCGTGACAGATCAGATGACCTCCCCTCTCAGTGAAGGCCACCGTGTAACCAGGCCAGAGTCACCAGAGAGTAAACAGGGACACTGGGGCAATCCAAGGCCTTGGGCCTCCATAATCCTGGTGGCCCAAGGTCTCTGGGAGGCGGGCCCAGGAGCCTGGCCTCGTGAACCTGCAGGATCTGCCCGGCCCCCAGCACCAGTCTGCCGGTCAGGGCCTAGGGCAGCTGCTGGCCCCACCAAGGGCACTGGACACTGGATGGCGAAGGCCACACTGGGGATCGGCCCCAGGAGGTGCCAGGTCCTCCTCAGGCAGTGTGGGTCCCTGAGTCTGCAGCCCCCGATACACTCGGGGAAGGCAGAGCGGCACACTTTCCATCGCTCCTTAAGCAACGTGTATTTTTCTCTCACGACGCGGTGTCATGGGCACCACAACACTCCTGACGGTGCATCTCCCCACAGGGCTGGCCGCCCCTTCTCACGGTCCTGTTTCCCTCGCCGATACAGGGCTCCCCGTCCCCAACAGAGCAGAGAATAGAGCTCAGCAATTCTGTCTAGTGTGAACCCTTCCGTGAGAGGTGAAGGGTCCCTCATACCTGCAGGGGCTTCTGGCGTGTGTGCGCGTGTGTGTGACCTGCGGCAGAGGCTGGGACGAAGGCCTGTGAAGAGCGGAATGATGCAGAGAACTGAAGCACATGAGAAGCCACCTGTATGCCACCACACAAGGACAGCCACGGTTAACAGTTCAACGTCGCTCTTTCGGGCCTTTATGCATAAGCATAACGTTCTATTTAAACAGTCGGAAGGATAAGGTACGTAGGCTGTACCGATAGCCTCACTCAGTATATTGTAACCGTCTTTCAATGCCATTTAACTGACTGCCTGGTTTTAAATGTTTGAATGTACCATTGTTTATCAAATAGACCCCACTACTGTTTCCATTTTTCACCCTCATGAATAATGCTTTAATGAAGGTTCCCACAAATGGATCTCCGCAACATCTGCTTACTTCCTGCAGATACGCTGGGAATCGACTGCCTTCTCCAGCAGCTGTCTCATCTGCTGGGCCCTCTGCCACCCACCTGCCTGCCTGCAGGATGGCTGCAGTGCAGAAGGGCCCGCCGAGCCCACGCACACAGCCCTCGGAACACGTGGGTGCAGGCAAAGTTCCCATCAGTGATGGAACAAACGCAGACCCTGGGTGGCAGGGAGTGTGCAATCTGCTGCCCAGCAGCTCCTCTGCCACAGGGAGGAACCAGGCATCCTGAGGATCACAGAGACGCAGGGAGGTGAGATGCCACAGGTACCGGCCAGGCAGCTCTGCGGACAGGCCACCCGCCCCCGTGCCCAAAAGGTGGGTCTCGCTGACGACACACAGTGTCCGCTTCTCTTGTCAAACTGTCAAGTGTCCCTGCAGATATGGCAGGGCACCCACGGGGGCATGCTGCCTGGCACGAACGGACAGGGGCACACCCAGACAGCTGCAGGTTGCAGAAGCACATGCGTGGTAAGTGAAGTCTGTCTGTCTGTTCGCCCGCCACGTCACACCAGAGCTGGCAGCTCCTGAGGAGGAACGCTCACGCTCCCTTCCGCCTCATCTTCCGCTGAGAACCCACGACTCTGCCCTTGACCCTACTCCTCCTTCCCTGCCACACCTCCGCCACGACACTCCTCTCAACGTGAGACACTGTTTCCTGCTGTCACCCCTGGCAGGACAAGGGCCCCGTCCCTCCCAGGAGGGAAAAGGGCGCGAGTTTTTAGGTTACTTTATTTAAAGCCACTTTTCTGAGGATGCGTTCAGTTTCTCTTCCGCTTCTATAAACGTGAAAATTAAAATTCTGAATTATCATATAGTCTTCTGTATTTAATAATTCAGACCTACGTGTTAAATCAATAACCACTTATCTCTGTAGAGAAATGGGGTATTTTTTCCCTAGAAAACAAAATTTAGGATGTAGAGACACAGGAATGTGAATCTCTGAAAGCAGAACCCCTCTTCCCCGTCCCCCACCCCAAATCGTGACATGGGATGGCCAGCCTCCACTTGTGCTTGGAGCCACAACAGCATGGGGGACCCGGTGTGTTCCAACGACACATCTTTTGAAGTTTCCAGCAATGATACATTGTGTTTTCTTGATGTGCTAGTTTCCTGGGGCTGCCGTAACAAAGTAGCACAGACTGGCGGGCTTACCACAACAAGAATTCCCTCCCCTACAGTTTGGAGGCCAGAGTGGGAAATCGGGTCAGCAGGGCCATGGTCCCTCCTGAGGCTCCAGGGGAGAATCCTTTGTTGCCTCTCCCAGCTGCTGGTGGCCCCAGGCATCCCTGGGCTTGTGGCAGCATCCCTCCAGTCTCTGCCTCCATTGATACGTGGTAACTCCACTCTCCTCTGTGTGTCTCTCCTTCTGGCTCAAATCTCCCTCTTTCTTGTCTTTGGATTTAGGGCCACCTGGATAATCCAGGGCAATCTTAACTCAAAATCATTAATTTTAATTACATCTGCAAAGACTGTTTTCCAAAGAAGGTCACATTCACAGGTTCCAGGGATTAGGATGTGGACACACTTTTGGGGGCCACCATCCAGCCCACTGCACTTCACTAACATTACTGCGATCACTGAGGGAAATCTTCATTGGCTATTATTATTAAAATAATTTCTTATTGGAAATAAGCTAATATCTTCTATAATTTATTTGTGATTTATAGTCTATATATCTTAGAAAACTTAAAGCATCATATAGTCTTGTTTCCATAAACATTAATAAAGCTGTCAGAATCCACATGGTGGAAGAGTGATTGAAATACAATGGAATACTACGCAACGATAAAGAACAACGATGAAGCCGTTAAACAGCTCATAGCATGGAGGAATCTGGAGGACATTATGCTAAGTGAATTTAGTCAGTCACAGAAGGACAAATATTGTATACGACCACTATTGTAAGAACTCAAGAAATGGTTTAAACACAGAAGAAAACATTCTTTGATTGTTATGAGGGTGGGGAGGGAGGGTGAGGGCTATTTACTAACTAGATAGTAGATAAGAATTATCTTAGGTGAAGGGAAGGACAGCACACACTACAAGGGAAGTCAGCATAACTGGACTAAACCAAAGCTAAGAAGTTTCCTGAATACAATCAAACACTTTGAGCGACAGAGTAGCAGGGGCAGGGGTCTGGGGACCATGCTTTCAGGGAACATCTAGGTCAATTGGCATAACAAAGTTTATTAAGAAAATGTCTGCATCCTACTTTGGTGAGTGGCGTCTGGGGTCTTAAAAGCTTGCAAGCGGCCATCTAAGATGTATCAATTGGTCCTAACCTACCTGGAGTAAAGGAGAATGAAGAACACCAAAGACACAAGGATAGTAGTAGCCCAAGAGACAGAAAGGGCCACATAAATCAGAGACTTCATCAGCTTGAGACCAGAAGAACTAGATGGTGTCCAGCTACCACCAATGAATGTCCTGACAGGGAACACAACGGAGAGTCCCTGATGGAGCACGAGAAAGGTGGGGTACAGAACTCAAATTCTAGTAAAAAGACCAGACTTAATGGTCTGACTGAGACTGGAGAAACCCCGGAAAGCATGGCCCCTGGATTCTCTACCAGCCCAGAAGTAAAACAATTTCCGAGGCCAACTCTTCAGACTAAGATTGGACTGGACTCTGGGACATAAAATGATACTTGTGAAGAGGGTGCTTCTTGGCTCAAGTAGATACATGAGACTAAATGGGCAACTTCTGTCTGGAGGTGAGATGAGAAGGAGGAGTGTGCTGTCACAGAACAGGGAGAGCAATTAGGGTCACATAACAATGTATGTATAATTTTTGTATAAGAGACAAATTTGAAATGTAAACTTTCACTTAAACTACAACAATAAAAAAAGAGTGATTGAAATAAATGGAAAAGCACAGGTATCAATAATCGAAACAGGCTCTTGACCAATCTGTCCTAAAACGTGAATGCTTTGCCTGGTCTCTAGTGTTTCCAGGATCAACAAGGCACGCTTCATGATCGAAGAATTGGGATGTCACA